ACCTTTCATAACGTCCTAAAAGACTACAGATTTCAAGTGATTTAATCATTAAAAAATGAACTTTTTTTCAAACGAATATTTTTACGATGGAAACCGGAAATAGGTAAAGTATATCCAAAAACAAAATTATTGCCGAAGCAGGTCTTGTGGCTGTATATAATTATATTTTAAGGCGAAAAATAGGTCTTAGTGGGTTGTTGAAAATTGGATCACCATCAGAAATATATTTGGCCATATTACAATACTCCGTGAATTGTGTACCAACGAACCAAACGACTTAAAAAATTATTTGAGAACGTCAGCATCAGATGTTCATAATTTATCAGATAAATTATATTTATTGTAATTTTCAATTACCATTGTCGATATTACACATTTTTTCATAGGAACCGGTCTTATCAATTGGTGACCGACAAAAGATTTGATCCGTTGGATCTACGCCAACGGATTTATTGTACCAAAAGGATTCCGTCCGTTGATCGCCAGACACAAGCGGATTTATCAGCGGACTCGGCACTTCAGGGGCTAAATCCGTCATAAAATCCGGTCGTGTACGGCCGGCTATTCTCGGATCCGCCCCGGAGACCCGAAATGACGACTACCGTGATAATATTGCCGAATCGGTCCGAACGGCGCTCGTCGTCGCAACGTAATAATAACGCGTCCGGCCGTTCGTTACCGCGGAAGCGAGCGTATCCATAACCGTCGCGGTCCGTGACGGCCGTCCGTCCCCGGGACTCGCAGATGTCTGCCAGTCGTCTAAATTAATAACGAAATATCTATCGCTAATTGGACGGCCGCCACCGCCGTCGCCGCCGAACAGGGACACCGTCCCGCCGGGACACCCGCAGGGTCATTACTCACCGCACTCGGCGTGTTTTATGGCCACCGGTAAGTCACGGGGCCGCGCCGCGCAGAATTTATCGTCGCGGATGCAGCTACAATAATAATAATAATAATCGTTATCATTACCGGCGGTGTTATATTATATTATTATTATCATCATCGCTATTATCGTTGTCGCTGCGCGGTAGCCGGTCGTTGTTGTTATTATTATTATTATTATTAACATTATGTAATAACGCGGCGGCGGCGGCGGCAGCGGCGGTCGATACAAGAAAATAATAATACGGAGTACACGGCCGGACCGCGGTCGCAACCGTAACCGCGGCCTCGGCCCTACCGAGGTTAGGGTTTTTCCCCCGTGCGTCGCTTGATTGTTCTCCCGCGAGTGACAATACTAGACAATCCCGCCGTGGGTTTTTTTTTTCACGCGACGACTGCCGTGCCGATAGGTCGCCGGAATCGGACGCGATGCGCGTGTTTCGGCGATTGACGGCCGGTGCCCGGAGCTACGCAACTCCGCGTGCCCAGAATGTATCGGGCCACCGAGTTTCAGGGTTTTCGCCGGCCCAAAATCACACAAAACAGTTGAAATCGACAAATTCAATTAAAAACGAGTATAATTTTGTACAGCACACCGAGATTTTCTCCGTAGCTCGTCGCCGATTCAATCAGGGCCAGCGCGTGTCAAATTCGTTCACTAAATCCCCGGCGATTCCCCGAATGTTGCACCATAATATTTGTAATACGATTAAAATGGTCAACATAAATTCAAAACTCTGTCTCGCGGCGGGAAGGTTCGGGAACGTTTACGATGTCTATATTCAGGCGCACCAGGCAAGGCTCGTACGCCACTTATGGTATTCGTTCTTAGGCAGTTTTTGTCGTTTATAATCGACGCAACAGCGCCGAAAACGTCACGGCTTCCAGTGAATTGAATACGGTTGAAACCGTAGCCATTGCGTTAGCATCGGAAGACGAGGAAACAAAAAAAAAAAAAAAAAATTATAAGAAAGTATACTGCGTACGTCCGATAAACGGGGAGAGAACGAAAAAGGGCCAATCGTATAAAATCGATGACGAATTACGTAAATACCCGGGAAAGTTTTTTTCTTGTTTCCGATGTCTACATATAAGTCTGATGGAAATATGTCGATTCCGGTCAAACCGAACTTATCGAAATCGGATGATACGATAAACGGTAAAATATCGCCGGAAGAATACATTGGCAACTACATCGTGTACAATATTGTTTACGATGGTATTTACAATATTTCACTATCTACAAAAATATTGTGTCAAAATACTTATTCAAGCGCTTGGCATTCTTAACGTTCCTGTTAATTATTTATGCGCGAAATGATGGAAAACCGTCAGTTTGCCTATGACCGGTGTGTTAAAATCGGATCATTGACTGCTAGCACCCGTGGTTCACACAAACGCCACTACGATTGAGCGAATGCGTGGCTGACACAGCCACGCGCTCCGACCTGTGTAGATAACCGCGCTGCGTACGTCATGCACGCCTTCAGCTGAGTTCGAACTGAAAACTGAACGCGATGTGCAGGCACTTTAAAACTGTTCGTTATCGGACATGACTGTACGATATTGGTGAACGGATCGCGAATGCGTTCGAAACATTTGTTTATCCGTCACACCGCGTTTAAAGGACAGTGACAATTTTAAAGTTTGTCTACACACAGATCGTATGTACGCAGCGTACTTACGGTCCGGATCGCGGATTATCAATATGCATCTAATGGAAGTGGCATACTGTTTAATGCGCCGTCGCGGCAAACCAATGTCGGATGCGAGTTTATCGAGTGCCTTGGAAAAATCTAAAAATCGCCCCACGAAAAGATACCATGAAATATAATAAGTTTACGTAGTTATTAGAGTCCACTTGTTTCAGGGTTTTTTGCGGGCCGCGCGGACCGTGGACGACACGTCCGTCGGAAATTGTTTTTCGTTATCCGTCGCTCGCCCCCGATTTTCGCCACAGCCACCCTTCTGGCGGCGGTACGCGGCGAACGGTTTTTTTTTTTTTTTTTTTTTTATTCCTGTCCGAAGTCGCTGGTCCGACGCGCAGTCGACAGTTTTCGAACGACCCGCGCGTATTACACGCACAGCAATATTATTATTACTGTTATTATTATGCGGTTCGGTAAGGAAATACCGGGGATGTATGCCGGATCGCAGTGGTTGCGGCAGTCGCAATCGCCGCAGCCGAATTGAAATTTCGTCCGGGGAGCGGGCGGACGACGTCGGCAAAAAAAAAAATCTTTCGGAAGAAAATTAAACGCGAAAAGTTTCCAACGGAAATAATAGGATTGATCGCGTAAACGTCAAAAACCGCCGTCGTCGCCGGGTTTAATCTAATGGAAAAAAATCCGTTAAGTAGGATAAAAGAGTTTTCTGCTCTGGCGCGGGGACAATAACGAGAGAGCGAGAAGGAGAGAAAAAAACCATTTAATTGTATAATAAGACGGAATATTATCACGTTCGCGCGTACAATACGGCGGCGTTCCGCGCGAGAGAAAAGTTTTACATTATCGTGTCCGGAGGTGACTGCTATACGCTATTGATCCGTCGCGCGTACGATATCGGCGGTAATCGCGATATTTTCCAGGGGAGATTCGAAACTTTTTCCCGATTCCGGTCCGTTCGGTCGCCGCGGCGCTGCGTATAAAATACAATAATATTGCGGACTACGCCTGCGGCGGTCTGCGTACGACCGGAGGACCGACCGAACAATCGAAAATGATCGCGATCGTGATGACGATACCGAATCCGTTTACGCGTCGTCGGTCGTTCCGAAATGAAATAATCGCGCGGCCTTAAGTTGTATCTATTCTATCGTTGTTTTTTTTTTTCCTCGGTTTTTACCATTCGTTGGGAAAACTCCTAGGAAAATCAGAAAAAAAAAAATGACCGCCTTAAAGTACCACCCCAGGAAAATTCCCTTTCAGAAAAGTTGCTATACTTGATATTTCTAGTAGAATTCTCGTACACTATATAAAAAAAAATTAACTAAACATCTTTGTAAAACCAATACACTCAGAATCTAAAATTATCAAATTACACTCTATTTTTTTTTAAACATAAAGTAAAACTTATGATAAACCCCCTGTTCAATTTTCAAGCATTACCGTTTGGATAAACAATTATGCCCACATAGTATGAGGGACTACTGTACCAAATTTCGGAAAATTATTTGTATCTGCAAGGATTGTTGAGTTGCACTTTTAATTATTAAAATAACTAATAAATTTATAAATATTTAAGTATTGAAACTTAACTTTTCTAAGTTTATACATAAATGAGGAATAATAATAATGAAAAAAAAAAAAATGTTACAATACTGTGCCTCGAACAGGGACAATTGTAACAGAGCTATTAAAACATTTAAGAAACAAGCTGCTCTACAATTTTATATTTATATTAACTTTTGCCACCCTTATATTTGGGGGTAAAATCACTACCTACTTTTGATTTTAAAATGGCAACCTATATAAAAAATTCTATAAATAATGGAGTATTAGTTAAAGTAAATATTATTGTTGACATTTTTGTCAGTCCGTTGACAGAGATATTACTTTTTTTAAGTTTGGGTTGGAGGAGAGTAGTGGAGTGTCATCTGTGTGGCGCGCAACGTGTTATTAATGTGCCAATACTCTCTTCCAGTCTAAAATTAAAAGTGGAATATCTCGTCAACGGACTGACAGAAATCAAAAATTTCAACACTCAAATTTATTTTAACCAATACTCCATCTATTTATAGAATTTTTAATATAGGTTGCCATTTGAAAATCAAAAGTTGATAGTAGTTTTACCCCCAAAAATTAGGTTGACAAAATTTAACATAAATATAAAAAATTTGAGTAGCTTGTTTCTTAAATGTTCTAGAAAACAAATTCCGGAAAAAGTTAATACTTTCCGAGATAATGAGTATACCTATTTAAAGGGATCACTCGGTAGAATCCGCGCCTACCGAAATATACAATCCGATTCATAAAAAACACGATTGCGAAACGGAAATATTATGTTTATAATATTTTTTTCGCACGCGATTGATAATTGTTTCGGCGAAATGCGGAATATCAGTGGGAGTTTCAGAACCGAGAAGCGTGAGAAGTGAGGATTCCAGAGCCGATACCATGGCTAAACGAGACCCGTCGACCGCCATGAAGTAAGCGGCTCACATTGGATTAAGTTCCGCGGCACGTTTTATTATACCTAACCTAACCTAACCAGTGCTGAATTCAAAGAATTTCTCTACGGAGCGCTCACTTTTTTCTCGTTGGTCATTTCTATGTAAATTGAAAAGAGTACCGAACGCAATGCATTTAATAAATATATTTTGATGGCGGTTATTGTATTTGTCAGGGGGGCGAATGGAATTTTAGAGGGGGCATTCGTCCTTCCCCTGGAGTATACCTGAATTTTACACTGGTTGTTTCGCTCCGCTCAGGGTCTAAAAAAAAGGCGGTTTTGTGAACGAAGGGATATCAAGCGGGTGGGGAGGGGGTATCGGTGACGACCCCACGAGTTTGTGAACATTTCTTTTAGGTTTGCGGTGGTCTGTGTTATTTGTTTTGGAAAGTCTGCCCGGCTATTTTTACGCCGCTTCGGAGCCGCCGGACGGGGTTTCGCGGGCAAAACGTTCCCCGTACACGTTACGGCCGCAAGACGCTTATCTATATTCCGTTCACGATTATTCAGACGGCATAATAACGGCTGTTGCTGCGCAGGGCTGCGAGATTCTGCGGGCCGCGCGAAGTCGCCGACAGAACCGGCGGTTAATCCCGCCGCCCGAGCGTTTATTCGTCGTCGTCGAGTGCCGTCTATCGGGCAAAAGTCGTAAATCGTACGATTTCCGCCCTTTCTCTCCGATTCCTCTCGCACGCGCCTACCCGCAGTACTATCCGCTATCTCTGTCCCGACACTCGGGCCGGCCCGCCCGTCCTCCGAACGCGAAAATCCTCGCGTTTCCCCGCCGCCGCCGCCGACGCGCGAAAACGGTTTTAAACGTCCGCGCCGCAGACGATATCGCTCCGGCACGGGCGCACGGGACGGTCCCGTAATAGAGGAAAAAAGCAAAAAAAAAAGTCGAAATCGGTCGTGTGCCGCGCGTATATACGCTGCAATATAATACCAATACCTGTCTGCGTGCGTTGTCGTATACCGCGTTCGGGACCCCGACGGGGGCGGGGGGGAGGGGAGGGAGGATAGTGTCGACGATAAAGACGGATTTAGCGTTTTTTTCGTTTTTCGCGCGTGTACGCCACTGTACCGCCGCCGCCGCCGATCGACGTCGCATTATAATAATATATACGATTGCTTTTTCGCCGTCGTCGATCCGCCCGAGTTTCACGTGTTTTACGCGTTTACACGTCATAGTGTGCACCGCACATTATGACTTCGAGTACGCACGACTTCGGTATAAGCGTGAAAGTCGCAGTGCTATATAGGCGACCCGAAACGACAATGGGTTTTGTGAAAAATACTCCGCGCGCTATATGTAGAGATGCGCCCGCGGCATCCGTCAATAATCCGCGTATAATATACGAGATTTATCGTTTATCCGCATTACCGCGTAATCCGCATTGTATTTTTTATCCCGTCGACAAACGACTCGATATTTTTTAACGTGATCCACTCTCGCCGTGGGTTTATTTTGTTATTTTTATTAATTCATGACGGGGCGAATCTCCCGCACAACGATGTACGATGTCCGACCCGCGCGTCACACTGTCCTCCTCGAAAACGCCGAAACTCCTCTCGGGCGACGGTGCAATTTTCTGGATTTTATCGTCGCTATCAATACTCCGCAGACAGACAACAACCGAGCACGGCAGTCGTATGCTTTAGGTAATGTTGTTGTTTCACGTCGAAAAACCATGGTAAAAAACTAAACAACTGTCGCAACGAAAAGAATCGAGCGTGCGATACTTGTTTTCAATAAAATATACGCTATTTCAGTTAGCAGCGATATTATAATTTTTTGATAACGCTTTAAGTAATTTCAATTTTATGATATCAAAATGTACAATATGTACCGCGATCGGTCGATAGTGTTGCTTTGTAAAAAATATACTTATGTCTTATTATGGTAAAACAATTACATATGCATTAAACATTTTTTATAATAATATTTGTTTAATATTATACCTATTTTTCTGTTTTTCCTGCGTTTTTTCTCGGTTTTACTCGTTTATTGGGATGGGGGGGGGGAACGACCTCCTTAAAATATATTTCCAGTCCGATTTACTTTCATAAAAAGTGCTATCATTGTTAATCTGCGCAAAATTCCTGGTAGAAAAGTTGTCCACAGAAAAAAAATAAAAATAAAAAAATAAAAGTCATTATCACTATATTCTTTGCTCCATTCCGAATCCAAAAATATAAAACGATAAAAATGTTTCAAAAAATACTACTAATACTAAAGTTAAAACCACGGCCACTTACCTTGTGGTTACGCTACTGTTACGCGTGCATAACCGTTTCGACACCGAGTAAGTATTTTTATCGCAGAATCATCGCCGCATTTTAATATACACATTGTACAAAGTTTAATTTATTATTGATAATGAATAACAATTTTTCTCTAGAAATTATCGTTATTTATTAAGTTAATAATCGCGTTTTTTTTTCAGAAGTGTTTTTGGATTCTTAGAAATTGCAGTAATTTCTCAACAGTTCTACGGATTACATTCGAAAAAAAAAAATATCAGTATCTAATATTCTAATCGGATTGTAAAAACATGTTGATTTTATTCGTGAAACTGAACAAAACTGTCTTACCGACTGATGACGTAGTAAAATTATGTTACTTTAGAACATAATTTGTGGTTTTTCGGTTGAAATTAGAGTTTAAACAAAAATAACACAATTTAAAGAGAAGAATATTTACGAGGGACGTGCGTGGTTTTTTTTTAAAAAAAAGAAAATTGTTATACATAAAAGTTAAAGCTTTTTAAAAAACCAACTCGACTATAAATCTTCTCATGTCATTTTTTTTTTTCGTAAAATCTACGTATAGTACTCGGAAATATTTTCCCGTTAAATTTTGTTTTCCATTTGTGTTTAACTGAAATTTCTATATAAACGTTAAATTTTATATTCGAAGTAACATATTTCTTCTAGTCTCTAGATGCAAATAGACTTTTTTCCTTTTAGAAGAATAATAAAGTAATCCCGTCAGTCCTTGAAATGAAAATATTCCGGAGAATATACGGACCGAAAAAAAAAAACAAATAAAAATATCACTCAAGAATATGGAACAAAACGTAATAGGTACGCGATTACGTAAACTTTACAAGGAACAAGACTCGCATAGACTGATAGTCATGGTGCATATGGACGTTTAATGGAATCATGGAGCCGGTTTTATAGAACGGAAACCCGATGGTGTATTGCCGCCGGGTGAATAAAAACAGTAGAGAATAATGTAGACAAAGTCGAGAAGGATCTAATGGAAATTGGAAGAAAACACGGAGAGGCAATAGCTATCGGGATAGGAATAGACGGAAGCAGAAACGCGTGTTGCGGTAATGGACCTTTAACGGTCTTAAAAGCCAATAGGAAAAAAAATATATGTATATGCGCGTGTAGTACACTAGTACCTCAAAAGAACAGAAAATGTAAACCGATTTGATATCTAAGCGGATCGCGCGATAGTCGAAAACTTCTCTCTTTGCTTTTAAAAATCGGAAAACCTTCGCAAAACTGTCTATACGAATAAAACTACAGACATAACGACTGAATTGCAGCGAATCGTTTCCGAACGCTAATATTATGCGCCGTAATTATCGCGTTAAGTCGTACAATATTCTTTAAATAAATATTTATTACCGGTTACCTTGAAATTCGAAAACCGACCAAAGTCGAAAACCGCTTTTTTTTTCGTTTAACAAGCAAATTTTTTACGCGAATAATATCGTGTAGGTACTGTCAATACACAATGTGTAGTAAAAATATGTACATAATTTTATACATTTAACATTATTGTAATGCGCCGATTTCGTCTACTGATTAAACGAATAAAACGTCTCTTTCGCAATCTGAAGTCGCGCGCTTACGATATAACAAAAAATATTTTACTTTTTCAAACGTATTATAATCGAAAACAGAATTTCATCGTTATGACCGAAATCCACCTACGAGGCGCTGTCTTAAACCAGCTTTGGAAAACGAGGAACTGTAACATAAAACGCTTTAATTATATTATTTTGAACTCGCTTACTTCGCGGATCGAGAAAAGGCCGGCGGTTAACACGACAATAAAGTCGACGGACGGTGAAGTTAGGTTTCGGCCAAGTTAGGTTCGCGGACGAAAAATGCGATAATAACCGCGCGGTTTTTGAAAAATCAGTTAAAATCTAAATGCCACGCGACCTGTACGACGATAATGAAACTAATTGTTATTGTTTCGCGAACGGAAGACGGAATAAAGAAAGTCGAAAAAGACATCAATAACCGTCGACCCCGGCCAATTATTTCGTATCGCCCGAAATCGAGTAACGTTTATCGGTATACCGATACCTGAATACGGTCACCATACGCGTGTACCAAATTAATGCAGTCTTTGGTCATTAGTTTTGGGCTACCTACCTGGTAATTAATTATCGTAGCGACGACGTCCGCCCGTGGCGTTCCTTCGCGACAATTAACCGCGGTATTATATTCTTAAACGAGTTACAAATGTTTACAACGATAATTGATTCGAAACCGAGTAATACAACAGGTATACTTACCGAGGAAATTTGTTTGGGAATTTTACCTACGATATATAGTCGGCACACTCGCGTATTACATTATATACTGCAGTAAAACACCATTGAACAGTTTGAAAGCGATTGGATACTCGTAATATTCTTAGGTGAGTAAATTTTAAAAAATGTCTATTAATTTGTCTGTATTATCATGCAAAATATCTTATTATACTCACCTATGTGTTGTTTCTAAATATCTCAATCAGGAGCGTAGCACGGATAGTAGGAGGGAGGTCCGGTAATTCTGAACTCCCCGCTAAAAAAAAAGAAAAAAAAAAAAAAAGAACCGATACTGTTGATGGGTGTGCCACAGCTGTTGTAGGTGGATAATTGGAACGGTAGAACATACAAAGTTTTCGAAAACTACGAGACAAATGGAATAATCGTTTTTTAAAAAATTTTCATTTTCTATACAACAATACAACAAAATATACATATTTATCGTATACACGTTTTATTGAACCTCTTCCGAAAAATACCTAGACACGTGAGTTTTATAAGCCGTAGGCCACTCCCCTTGGAAAAAAGTTGAAAATATACTACTGATCTCAATAGATTGAATATAGGTTAGGTTAGGTTAGGTGGTGATGTTAAAAAAAAAATTAACGTTTTATAGTAAGACTTTCACAGTTGTTGCATTAAGTTTTATTATTATTCATTTAATTAATTTATGATTTACTAAGATATATCTACAGATATAATAATTATAGCTGTTTATTTAATGTTTTTTTTTTTTTTTTATTAAGATTTTATGAACTTTGATGTATTGCGTTACAACTTTTATAGATTATTTATCTTGTTTATAAAAGTTAAATTTTATGATTTATTATTATTTACACTTATATTGTATTCTCTCTTATGATATATTAGATATTATGTATTTTATTTATTAGTCACGGTGATTTATTTTTGAATTCGATGTCTATATAGTTAGTAAACAATATTCGTTCTATAAAATGACGTCCGTGAAGTTGCCACAACCGCTTTGCGCTACAGACTTCGAACCTTAGTCAATATTTCGCAAAAAAAAAAAAAAAAAAATATATGTTTGTACATTCAACCATAGTATATTGGCGTATGAATAATTATGGGGGAAAAATAGATTTAGTTCTACACGTTTCGACGGTGAAAACAATTTCTACCACAAGTAATAGTGTAAATTTAATCAATGTTTGAACTAAATGTAATTTTGAAATTCGCGAATTCTTCCCCTTTGCGTTCAAGCAGCTGTCGGGTCGAAAAGGGCGCTTATATGATTTAATCTGACAGTCTCTCCTCCTTTCATCCCCCGTCCGTATCGCTCTTTTGTATCACGCCAAAGGCCGACAAAAAGGTGCTCGCCAGAACGAGACGGTACAAAGAGACGCGAGAAATAAAAGTGAAAAAAAAGCTGGCGTTTCCAATTTTGTTTGCTGTTTTGAATAATTCATAAACGTTTATTTTTATTATTATTACTATTTTTTTTTCCTTTATTGTAATCAATTGTTACCGGTCTGGCATGTTAATGAAATTCAAGTAATTCCGCCTTTTTTTTCGTGTGTGTGTGTGCGTTTTTTGACGTCATCCCGCAAAAATTTGTCAATAAATTACGCGGCGACGACGGGGGCCCGATTAAACCGCGGTCAGACGCACCCGGACGTCCGGTTTCTCGTATAAGTTATGGCTCCGTCAGGGGTTTTGCGCGCGTAGGCCGGGAAAATTCAATTTTTGCATTTATACGATTCCCGTATAATTTTCATGTACGCCCGTCGGAAAACTGAAATTCCATGTGTTTCGGAACTGTATTTTATACGAGCGTTTCCTGATAACGGGCCAAACGGCATTCGACAAAATCCATATACAAACATATTACAATAATGTAAAGCGATTCTGCTGCATGTTATACCGAATTACCGACCGTACATTATTATTATATAATTTTTCACATATACATAACCACGGAAAATCAACAGATAAAACTCTGTTTATGTATACGGTCTAGGGGCTTATTATACTGCTGTTACTATTTCAATAGAACTGTATAAGTAATTATTTATTGCCAGCTAGTTTTAATTTTACAGTATATTGTTGTTTAAATGCAGAAACGAAATATTATAGAAATCGTACGAATACAATACAAAATGTATATAAGTATTTGTGTGTGCGTACCTACAACAATATACGAGTGCACACATATTTTTTGAAGGTTAGGTAAATAAGAAATTAATGATAAGAATCGTTTTAAAATATTAATAACTATACTGTATATTGTCGAAATTTGAATTATTTATGATTGCGACAACAATCAAAATTTATAAAAAAATATCTAAACAACCATGCCAAAGAAAGAAGTTTTCGGTATTTTCATCTGCGGTCCGAAAGAAGACGCGTGCAGGCCGTCGTCTCGTTGCGTTGATCCTGACAACCGAACAGTTATAATCCCTGCCTAAGTCATTTCTCTCAAGTTTTCAAAATGATCAATTGAAAGTTTACAAAATACTTTTTCAAGTAGTTTTATTATTCTCAGTAGGTATTTTATACACATCAAACTATTGCGTGATATTCATATAAACGATTCGAGACATAAAAAATTAATATATTTTTGTTTCCAAAAATTTACTCAAGTCCTTTTTCCAAAAAACTGCTCTTCGTGTGTTTTTTTTTTGTGATTAAAATTCTCCGATTTTTTCACTCAGTGTCATAAACAAATATTATTTATATCTTTTTATTTTTAGGCTTTATACTTATCTACTATATACCTATATTACTATATTACTACTATTAGTGCTCTACTGAGCACTAATAAAATGCCGCGCGTCATACCGCCACACTAATGTTACTGCACCCACTATCTAAACATAGGATACTCCTTAAATGTTGTGAAAAATCTAAGCACCTTCAAAAATATCGGCTTTGACTGTACACTCGAAAATTCCAAAAACCGCAATTCGTCAAATTTAACCGAAAAAAAAATGGGGAGATCACGTTCAGTGAATTGTCCTGTATAATATATATATATATATATATATATATGTGTGTGTGGGTGTGTGTGTTTGTGTACGTGTAAATCGTGTTTCGCATGCATCTCCGGGACGTTGATTTTCTATACCCTTGGAAATAACGCACACAAATTTCTATTTAGAACGCGGTCCGCGGCGCTGGCGCGCATGCGAGGGGGGCGTCGGTGAGGTAATCCGTTTAAATTCGGACGGACATTTGAGAGTTACGCGGGCGCGCACGCTACGCCACATACGTGATTAAAGGCGGTGGTGTGGCCGTATATAATAAGCAGTGAATCGGGGAAATAGCGAGGGGTAAACAAAATATTATTATTGTCCGCTGAAATATCGCGTTTTGGAAACGTGTTCGTGATCCGGCGACGTCAGTCGGTCATATTTATGCATGCCACTCTATTATATTGTACACTATACAGGTGCGTGGACCCCGAAAACTACAATAACCTCACAAAGACGCGGAAGAGATGTTAGAATTTTCTCGAAAACAAATTTCCGGAACGATCCGAACAAAATAAATTTTTTCTTTTTTTTTAGGGCCGAATTGATGTATTTAGGTGATGTATTTAAGTAGGTATCCTCACCTTTATTTTTGGGTGTGAAATCACTACTTATTTATGATTTTAAAATGACAATCTTTATTTAAAACTCAATAAATACACGAAGTATTAGTTAAAATACATTAAAGTGTTGACAATTTTGATTTTCACCAATCCGTTGATATTCCACTTTTAAATTTGCGTTAGAGAAGAGTAGTGGTGCATTATTAACAAACCGCGTGCATCTATTCATTGAGTTTTAAGTATAAGTTTCCATTTGAAAATCAAAAGTAGGAAGTGGTTTTACTCCCAAAAATAAAGGGTGACAAAAAATAAGATAAGTATAAAATTGTAGAGCAGCTTGTTTCTTAAATGCTCTAGAAAACAAATTCCGAAAACATTAATATTTTTCGAGATAATGAGCGTACCCACTTAAATTTATTACCTGGCACTCTGGAAATTGATTAAATTGATTTCGAAGGACTCGGGAGCGGGTTTCCAAATACTTTGTCAAAGATTTTGTAAAATTAGAAAATTGTCCGGCTTTTTATAATGGCACGCCTTAATAATGTATGCACACGATGAAAATAAGATCCTAACGTCCGATCAAAATTTTTTAAATGTGTACCTATAGATTCGTTGACAAATCGTCTAGATTATTTGAGATATCGATTTTTCGGTTTAGTGAGCCGAAAAGAAACTTATTAATGCGGTTATATCGTGGAATTTTCAAAAATAATAATTATATTAATTTTGGAGTCTTCAAAACTGAAAATTTAAAATCTGCTTAAAAATGCAAATGTATAATACACATAAATCAAAATCGTTTAATTTCCCATCGCGTATGGGTCTAAAACTTGTTAATAAAATTAATTTTTATAGGAATCGATATAGACGTGCACAGAATAAGAAATTCCAAATATGAACTTTCGAAATTATATTATACTAGCTGCCTCGCACTGATTTGGCCGCGCACAGTTATTGAACGTAGACAATTTAAAAATATAAAAACGTTTCCTCTCGTGACTCCAAGTTTTCAATCCATATCTATCACAGAACCTAACCGTTGTTTCTCGGTTTGAATTTATTATTTTCAAATAGTACACATTCGTCCTTCACAATAGTAAATTAACCCATTTTAACTTTTTTTTTTGTTTTTTGTTTTATCCATGTCGCCAAAGTGACCTATAAATCAACAAAAATAATTCGATTTTCACCCATCTTTCGGGGGCTGAATTTCGGAATAAAAGTATCCTATGTGTTAATTTAATTTTATCGGTGTATCAAATTTGTTCAGCCGTTTTGACGTGATTAAATCACAAATATCGAAAAATAGAGACTGTTGCTCTATATTGTGTTTGTAATTTGTTACTATGTAATACATAAATATACATTTGGACACTTTTAGTGGCTCCCTTTGGACCGAAGAATCTCTGGAATTTAATTTGTTTACATGTGGATTTTGGGAGGAAGGTGTTTTTTTTACCTTTGTGCACTTCTAGGGACTCTTAAAATTAATCTGTGATTAAGATGTGTCTTTTGGCGGTTTCAACTTTCAACCACCACTTCAAATATTTCTATGCTCCGATTTCATGTTTTCACAGGAAATAGCGGATTTTAAATATCCTTACGGACTCATGAAAGTAAGTTACTTGAATAAATAATATTTATAAAATTTATATATAATATTATATTTAATAAATATAATATTTTTGTTGATTATATACGCCTTTAGAAGACTCAAACATCCAGTAATCCCGTCGTTTGTTTGCATATTAGAAAACGTTTCGAAAATTATTACTTTACGGCTATTTCGACAGAACTTTTTTTTATTAAATTAAGAAAAAAATTATACAAAAAAAAAACTTGAAATATTTTGACAAAAAATTAGCCGAGGGAAAATTAGACTCTGCAGCGACTTGTAGCTCTGTTGCTCGGTTTTTCATTTTCTTAGGTTTCTCAATTATTATGCCCACCGGTTTGTTTCAATTTCCCGACTTATACGCGATACACACATACGCTACCTATGTATATAATATGAGGCGTCTACAGTGAAAATACTAAACGGACGAGGAAATGTGGTGGGAGGGGGCGGGTAGGGGACCGAATATTTACATAATATTAATAAAAAGAAAACAGGGTCGCGCGCGTCCGAGAGTCTGTGGCGGCTGAGAACAAGAGCTGGTGGGAGACGGAGAACGTATACATAATAATAATAATAATGTACGAAATCGCGTGTTATCAAATCACACGGTCACCGCATTGTCCGTTCGGCCGGTTGTCCGTTTTCGATGTGGCGTCGCGGTCGTTGTTTTTTAAAAAAAACCGATTTTTTATATCCGAAACTCTCGATTGGTATACATAATATATATATATATATATATAATATTACGTGGAAAAAAAAATATTAATAATAATATTTAGTTACGTTTTTCGAGAGTGCTGTTTTATTATTATTGTTTGTTTTCCGGCTGTAGACGGCGACGGTGCACGCAGTACCTATATAATATTATTATTATTGTTTTTGTAGTGCAGTGTTTACTTTTTACCCCTCGAAAAATATGGGCAGCGGCCTTTGCAGAAGGTCAGGCCGAGGAAGACCCCGGCCGGCGATGCCCTCGCAAGCGAAGCCCCGGGCTACGGGGGTCGCGGACGGACTTTACCGGAAGATGGTTTTCAATTATGCGAAACAGGTAAAAAAAAAAAAAAACATAACCCCGTTGCATCGATAACACATAATAATAGTATATATTATACCATCTGAAATGCATTTATATATTTATTTTTTTTTGATAAAAATAACAAAACTACAAAAACGTATATCTGTTCCTTTTTAAGAAGATTTTCTCGTAGGATAAAGGTATTTTAACGAGTATGATAATATTTAATACATGGTTTTTGAAATAAAATCTCGTAGTTTTGATGTACTAAAAACAACAAAAATAAAAAAGTGCATTAACTTACCGGAACTTCTTGTCGAATAAATAGTATTTGGATATATAAGTATATACACCGCTGTAGTTATCGCAATAGTTTATTTTTTTCTGTTGTACAATAAATAGTTGATATATGTTGAACTAATAATGTATTTTTGATACAAAAAAATCAGATTAAAAACAATGGTTCGAGTTGAGATAAAATTTCAAAAAAAATGTCACACGTCTAACGTCTATTAATTCACGACATAACTGTATAACGGTATATCTACCGTATTAGTCAGGAAAAAATTCCGGCGATACTTATAAGTTTTATTATAATCGACTATTTATTTTCAGAATTTTTTGAAATATTAAAATTCACCGAAACAACCGAAATAACCAATTAAACAAAAGGTTTCATGGGTGGGGAGATGCACGTGCCCTCAGTGCCCCTCCTCTAGCTATGGCACTGTCTCACGATAATAATATAGGTGCTAAAAAATGCGAATTAACAACAATACCGAAGGACAATATTACATATTTATTATACAAATAAATTATTCGTATTATGTAAATGGATGAAATAATTTTTCAACACACAAAGCACCTTACTTAGCTTGTAAAAATTAAAATAGAGTTTATGAAAAAAAAAAAAAAATTGGAATTTGCAAACTTTTGACGAGTAAGTACAATATAATTTGTATATTTGTATTTTTTAGATATATCGAAATGTTCAAATATAGTAAGTCCACTTGTATCTAAATCGCAAAGATTCGCATAACAAGCTCGTATTGAAAATTATTGCGATTTTATGTATTTATATTTTATATTTTTTTAACCCATAACCTCCCATCGTTATATATGTATATATATATATATATTGTGTACTATTTAAAAAAAATCTGAGATGCCTATATTATAAAAACGTATTTTACAATTAATAAAGGTAGGTAAATTAATTTCAAATAATAATAAAATTAATAGAGACGATGAGATTATATTAATTTTGCAATGTAATACTATTACGATTTTGGACTTTGAAGTTATATCAATACAATTTGGATTTCAATCGTAATAAATTAATTGCTAGCGATAATACCAATAGGTAGTGAAAAAAAAATTGTTTACGTTTTAAAAACACCGTTTAGACTTTAGCCGTTAAAGTGTTTAATAAAAATATCACTTTTAAAGTCGATATACATTTCAATTTTCTCATCTTTGTAGTGTTATTTCGATTTTTTTTTTTCTTTTAGCGTACAATGCCGTTTTAAAATATTATAAGAAAGTAATATTATTTATCATTTAATAATGATAATGTCTACTGGTTATACTTATGTACGCGTATAGAAATCAAAAAATATTTAAAGTATTCATCGCTATTATACTATATTGAATATAATAAATCATGAATTTCCACAATCATTCATTTATTCTGTATAATATGGTTTACACTATTTAGTAAGTAGATGCGAATCATAATGTAAAGACCGTCAAATAAAAAAAAAAAGTTTTATATTAAATTTTATTGTGTTACATACGATTGATTTCTGTCATATTATAACAGTACAATAATTCTAAAAATTTTAAATTGTAAAAGGTGCATTTATTTATAGAGTAAAAATATACTTAAATTTGAACATAATTTCAAGTGGTAAATTACGAGAACGATGAAAACACGCGGAAGTGCCAGGAGTATGATGGGTTTACTCATTGGCATAGCCAAGGGGAGCTAAGGGGACTATAGCCCCACCCAAGGGCCGTGTTATGCATATTATTTTGCGGCTTAAGAGTTCACTACTTTTACAGTTATTTCTTCCACTCCTGGAAGAACCTTTTCTACAGTGAATTGTATTATTTAAGAAGGAGTACGAATATCAAATTAGCAAATAGGAAAAATTGAATGGCCATGGCTAATTTATTTAAATTAAAAAAATACACAAATGAAAATTAATAATTTCTGTCTTTGCTCAAAGTTCTTCTAGACGAATGTAGCTATCAAAGGGGTATAGTATAGTTTCCGCAAGATATTATCCCGAGGTAGTATTATGCATAATAATATTATACTCCCATTTTATCGTTAATTTTTTTTTTTTGTCAGTTTTTGTTTAAATTACTGCATTGAAATGCGCAAGCGACGAAACCTAACTCCTCCGAACCCACACGATTAAATTTAAACCGTTCTTAGTTTCCCTATCAAATACAAAATTCTGGCTTCGCTACTGGGTTTTTCGCTACTTGTTCCAGTTTTGTCCATAAAAATGAAAAAAAACCCAATCAAAAAATGTTGATTAATAATATATTTTAACGTAAAACCATTACCCGGCGAAATATCTCAATAACAAACTGTAGATTAATGAACACGAACTGTACTATAGATAAGCTGTAAACCCAATAATATTACATTTTGATTACACCTATACGTACCATAGGTACATGATACAAATTTTAACGGTTACTACTAATTTAATATTAAATCAACGACCGCAAATTTGAATATCGGCGTACCTACTGATAGAATGGTTATTATTATTATTATAATTATCATGTAACATGCGTTATGTCAATACATACCGTCTACACCTACTATAATAATATGCATTTGAATTTCGTATAAAAAAAAGTATGTTTTGTTTTATAAAACAATGTAAAACCAATGTATGTATTTAGTTTTATCATCGAGCTTAACAAAACCAATAATATTGTAATATTGTTTTCAATTAATTATCGCGCGAATTGTAAAATAAAGAATATGCCTGAAAAATATATCGTATTATATTGTGATAGGTATACCGCATGTTTTCATAATAATAACGATTATAGTATATATATACACCGTGGATATAAACCTATAGTTAAAAAATTATTTAAATTGGTTACGCTCGTATGCGATGTGACGGCGAGAATACAAAAAAAAAAATCAGTTTTACCGATTTCTGAGCAACAAATAATAAATGAACTGCTATATAGACTATACTCGCGTTAGGACCTTGAAGTTTATAGGTACCTTGCATACAAACTTCCGAAAAAAATAAAAAAGAAACTTCTTCCACGTATTATGTGATGGGTGTAGGTACCTTACGTCGATTTTATAATAAGTACACCGAAATCAATGCTAACGGGGTACCTTTGAAGTTTGCATATTGTTGAGATAGGCTTCTTTTTTTTTGAAAATATCGTCGTGCCGTACGCCATTATGCATACGATTATAATTTAATAATACAATACGGCACATCTGCCAAAAATTAATCGATCCCCCGCTTGGAACGTCCTGTATATAATTATGCGCAATACAAGGTCAAGTGGTATTATAATTTTGAATGTACTCCCATCATATTATGACAAAGCGATACGATGTATTGTGTTATAAATATAGATATGACACTATATTCTCAGCGGTGGCGTGGCCGAAATTTTGTTCTGGATAGAGAACTAAGAATGTTTTCGCTTTCAATCATGGGGGTTCGGGGGAGCTCAATCTCAATACAAATTTTAAAAGGTTGGGTTATATCAGTTGCGCATTTCAGCGCAAGAGTTTAAACAAGAACGGATAAAAAAAACTTGATAAATGGGAATATAATATTATGTATACTGTTTCGGGAGTCGGGATAATGTCTTTAGAGGGATTGGTTAAGTTAGGTTAGGTTGGGAGGGGTTGATACAAAAAAAATCTTTGTCCGATATCAATGTTCATTTATTTTAATTGACTTACATACCTATTATTTTTTGTTTTACTTGTCTGGATGAATGCATATCTATGTTTTAATCAACAATAAAACTTAAGTTTAATTTAAAAATTTTAACACAAAATCTACTTTTCGCAGTTTAAACTCGGAGTCTAAGGAGGTTCAGACTCACTGAACCCCCCGTAAACCATCATTGCACTGGGGGGATCATACATTTCCAAGGAGGTATGCCAAAGGAAAAGCTGGATCTAGGAATTTTACACTTGGGAAAATAATTACGAAAATACGCTCAATGAAGATTTGTTTTTGCAGCTCATTAAAATATTATATTTTTTTTAAATTTTACCGTCAACAAAATGACTCATGACCATATATTATATCGTATCGCACATGGTTAAAATAGTAATGTAATACATTTTTAGGGAGCGTTAAACATTTGTCTGCTCGGTAGGAGTTATAACCCCTACCCCGCTCCCCCACGGTCACCCCTTTGAAATAAACCCGGGAATAATAATCATAAACGAATAGTACGCGGTATATCGTACTCCGTACCCGATTTGAACGTCGGAATTCAAAAGCCCGATCACGAAAAAAGTCGAATTTTCGATTAATCATAATGAATCGAGCTTTTTCTAGTGGTTCGGCTGAAATATCGTGTCATACAATTCAAGAATAAATTATCACCAAATAAATGCTTATAATTGTTGTGTTTTCAAGCCAACGAGAGGAGCTCCAGCCATAACCCCTACCCTTACATCCCCCTTGCACGCCGCTGATGCGTATTAAATAATATCAGGTACCATAGCTACGCTATGCGGTAGGTGCGCATCGTATTTTGTGATACACGCGGTATATTCTGTAATATCCTGTCCAAATAATAACACTAAACTACAATGTTATTTCAGCGCGTACATTAATAGTATGATGATGACTTATGATGATGGCATTCGGGACGTGCCCAATATTATTTTCGTGTATATAGAAGTAGTATCTGTCTATACATTATTAATTAATATAGGTGCGCGCACATAAACCAAATATAACACGCGCCGTAATATCACCGTAACAACAGTGTGCTCGTGTCGGAGGGGAGTAGATATAAAATAAATGTGTTTATGCGACAGAGGTGTAAAAATAAAATCCGACCGACTTTGTACGTATAATATGACCAATGTATAGGTAATAACACGGTATAGAAGATCCGCACAGTCCGATCGATTCACGAGTACATTAATTGTTATTATTTGATGAGCCGTAAAAAAAAAAAAATCCACGTTCTTTAACTTTCATTAAAACATATATATATATTTTTCTTTTTTTTTTGGGGGGGGGAGGAAGAGTTGAGTCTATCCATTAAACGAATTCCGTTTCCGACCATCGCAACTCATCTAAAAATCGATCCTGTTTTACGCGTCACGACGGCTTCTAGGCAGGTTTTTTTCCTCGCGGTCATCCTTTTCAATAAATTACCGTTCTTATCATTGTAAAATGTTTTACGCTGATGTAACTACACATTGTAATATTATCGTTTTACATTTACAGTGGACGCGTTCGGACAGATACCATCAGAAAAACGGCAATACAAATCACAAGAACAATAACAAGTAAGTGAAATTACGTGTATAATACCCATACGGTTTTTGACGAGATAACCGAAGAAACGTAAAAAATGTTAGTTTTTCCTGAATAATTACCGATTACTCTGACGCTCACGATTTGTCTGGGCATAATAATTATCTGTACGGTTAAAAATCGAACGGCACGTAGTGTAGAGACGATTAGATTCAATCGTCATAATAAACTCAATAACAATACAAAATAAAAAAATAACGGCGAATAAAATCATATTGTAGGTGCCTACGTATTAGAGAGAAAGTTTGTAAAAGTATGTTTTTTCGTTTCCGTTTCGCGGATCTATGTTTATAACGGAAATTATACATGTAAGTACGTCCAATTTTTTTTCCATATAATATAAGTAATGTTTTTCACAAAATTTGCTGGTATGTGCGCAACTATACGCAAACGGGTACATAAGCGTCGCACACGCTGACGAAGGCCCGGTAGGTTCGGTACAGTGCCGGATAGACAACGTAACGCTCCACAGAGTTCTAAGGTTTTCACCGGTCCAAAATCGTACAAAATAATGTAAATTAAATTGAAAACAGATATAATTTTGGTTGACCCACGGAGATTTTCTCGGTAGCTCTTTGACACTCAATACTTTTTGTGGGTCGCGTTGAACTCCGGTTTTCAAAATTCAAATTCCAAAAAACTATGGTTATTAAAAGTGTGGGCATTTTTGTTTTTTTTTTTTTTAAATTTTTTTTTTTGTTAATGCATACAGATTAATCCAAAACCAGAGTTCAATACATTCTGTACACATTTTTGGTCTCTAAAAATAAAATTAAAATTGAAATCGGACAATTTTACAACATCATATATAATAGTTTTTCCTGTAAAGTCAAGAGTCAAAAAGTATCTCTTCCCCATGAATGGGTACCGTGTAGTAGATTAGTGAAAAATTCTTATCTTTAAGGGGGGGGGGGTCATTCAAATGTTAAAAACTTGTACAAAATCGGTGAGCATCCGGAAAACCCGTTCCTAAGCCTAGTATACAACCACTACCTACTTTTAAGTTTCAAATGGCAACCTATGTTACAAATCCCATAAATAAATGGCTTATTATTTAAAATAAATTTTGTTGACATTTTTGATTTCCGTTAACTCCGACGAGTTATTCCACTTTTAAGTTTGGATTGGAGGAGAGTAACGGAGCATTATTTAATATTAAAAATGTCAACACCAAAATGTATTTTAACTAATACTTCGTCTATTTATGGAATTTTTAACATAGGTTGTTATTTGAAAATCAAAAGTAGATAGTGATTTTATCCCCAAAAATAAAGGTGATAAAAAAGTAATTGAATCATAAAATTTTAGAGCAGCATGTTTCCTAAATATTCTAGAAAACAAGTTCCGGAAAAAGTTAATATTTTCCGAAATAATGAGTGTCTTACGATAGTTCGATCACTCTGTATATTATCATACAGGCCAATAATTAGTCATGACTTAAGAGTGACAATTAACTTATGACTTATAAGTCAGTGAGTCGCGAATAATTTAATGTCCAAAATAAACCTGCGTAGTTATCTGTACGTAGAAAAATAACCGATAAATCAGCCGCGGACATTACGTAGGTCAGTAAGAATGCTATAGGTACGCCAGTATATTAAACCACAGGCCGAAATCGGTATCTGTCTGCCGTAAGTTCGAATTCGAACAACCTTCGTCTTTTTTTTTTCTATTTTTTTTTTCATAAATTATGTTTCAAAAGTCCGTTATCAATACACCCGAATTGCGTTTATTTTTAAACATAATAATGTGTGCCATTTTATCGATCCAATGTTGCGTTCAATTCCGGTAGGTACCTACGTATACATTATATTCCGAATTATTTTAAGACCATTTTTTTTTTTTGAAAATTCGGATATTCTCCAGTCGGACACTGACAACAATGATAATGTTACCAAATTTTCGAATATAGAATGCTAGTACCATAGAGACCGTATTATGGGGTCACGCGCATTATTCTATAATATCAGCTATGCAATCTAATCTATAATTTGTACCGCGGAACAAGAATATCGTACAGGTACTATGCAGTACTGCAGACTTTGGTTGAAAAATTAATTATTCTTCCCGTATTCTGATTTACGTGTACCTTTTTGTGACCGGTCCTTTTTGGTCCCCGACGTCCTCACCCGTTTTTCTTGACACGCACGCCTCAGTCCGAGATTACCGTATATGTCAATACGATACGATTCGCGATACCTAAACCGTTTTGACGTTAAAATATACACAATATATAATAATAATTACTATCGGAAAATTTGACGTTAGTAGTTTTGGATGTGTCCCCCCCCCCCCCCCCCCCCNCCCCCCCCGGAATCCGATGTTTCGATTGCGGGTCGTGGGCTGTGCTCTCTCCGCGCTTCTCTATTAAAACTCAAATACTTCAACGGCGTCGTTTAAATAACTTATTGCTATAAAACTCGGATGTTTATGATCACAATTGCTTTAAAATATGCAATTATATATTCTTTATAATTTATTTTATTTTATTTATTTTCTATAGAATAATATGTATCAAATATACTTATTTTTCAACAGATATATGCAAAAAAAGGTATTAATATTAATTTAAAATAAGTTATATACGATTTTAACAGTGCATGCAATAAATATACATTTTTTAACTACAAAGTTTGACAAAAAACTGGTTTAATATTAATTCAAAATAAAAAAAAAAAAATAATTTAAAAATATAAATATTACATAGGTTAAATACATTATTTGGTTAATAGTTACCGTGCACATTTGTAATATTATATTTAAAATGGTACTATTAATCAAAATTGAATCACTAAAATGCTACTAAATCTAGAAAAAAATCAATGTATGCGAAAATGTCAAATATACAAATATATGCAAAATAAGTTTGCATATTCGAAGTCTAGACTTCATGAATCGAATTTATGTCATATTCGGGTATAATTCTGATTTCACTAAAAAAAAAAATATGCAAAGTCATGAACGTCCGAGCTCTTAATTATTGTACGTTCCTCGAGATATTTTGATTATTTCAAATATCCGGAAAAGAAAAAAAAGAAAAAAGAAAAAGGTAAATATTAATTTGCATACACTTACCCGCGCTATATGCACATTAATCGTATTATAGTCGGCGCTTAAAATTAAAAACGCTTTTTGATTGAGATTCGCGTTTTATAATCGTGATTATAAAATACGTCTGTATACCTGTATACATGTATATATATACACGCTATACGAGTATAATATTATAATATCCCCGTACACAAACATTTTACTTTTAGAGCGTAATTAATTGAATGTTTGCTCGCGAATAATAAAAAGCCATTATAATAATATTGTACGCGGGCGAATATTAAAATCGAGTGGAAAATATTATTTTAGTATAATATTACCTACGTAATCGACGACGGGCAAAAGCGAACGGTGTAATTTTTTTTGTACGATCGCGTGCGTACACACAACCCACCTTATAGTAATAATTATAACAATAACGCGTCCACGGTGATAATAAGACGGTTACCTCACCTACCTACCCGCCTACCGGAGTTAAAACACTAATTAGTGATTAAAAGACGAATTATATTATGATAATATACGACGTCGCACAGTGTTAATGTATTGTAATTTATGTGAAGGTGGGGGAATCGGACGGAAAAAAAAAAAAAACGAATAAAAATAAATTCGAAATCATACCGGCCGTGTTCGAACCGCGGTGTATCATTATAACGTTAAATGTCAACATACGTTCGAAAAGTTATCGAAACGAGAAAAAAAAAAAAAGAAAAAGAAGAGAGACGGGCATGTGTTACGTTTAAAAACTTTTTCAAATCTATTCGCTGTGCACCGCGCGCTGCTGTGCGATGGCGTACGGTCATACATCGACCGTTCGTGGGAGAAAAATCAAAAAATCAAATAAAAAAAAAAAAAAAAAACAACCGTAATTTCACTGAAAGTCAAAAGTCAACGCACACTCGCCGGACAGTTCGATACAATATAATAACAGGTTTTCGTTGTTATTGAACAAATCCGACGGCGTACAAAATAATTATTGTTCATATTGAATCGTTTCCCTCTTAGGCTTCGTCCCGCGCCGGGCGCACAGAGGTCGTCCACCACCCTACGACGGTCGGGTACGTCTCCCCGTCCGTGGCCGTTTCTCGTACGCTTTTTCTCCGGCCCCTTCTTTCGTTCGCCCGTACACGTAATAACATCGGCGTGTCAGATCGCCAAACGGTCTTCTTGACGGCATACCCGCAGACGATATTGTGCGCGCGGACAGAGGATCACCTAACGCGCACGGTATAATGTTTCCGAAGAGAATACGCGGCACCGGTTACACGTGATTACAGTATAGTGTCTCGCGGTCCCGTAGATTATCCAAAGTCGTCAAAATGACGATGGCGATTTGTTTGACATTTTTTCTAAATGACCCGTGAAATGACCTACAACTATACTATTTATTTTATTTGTATTAAATACGATTTCATTAAGGAAAAAAAAACAAATGTATTTTTAGTTTTTAAAATTGCGGTGTAATCACCGATCACTCATTACTTCTTAGTAGAGACGTTACGAACCCTGATATTACGATACCCTTAAAATTAACGAATCCCGAGAGAACCGAACTTTTAAAATATCTTATCGAACTCGAACATTAAAAAAATTAAAACAAAAGGTTAGGTTAGGTTAACCTTTACGACTTTTACCAATTTACGATTGTGAGCCCCACTAATGCGAAAAAAATTGAATTTTTCTTTTTCGTAACAGGGCGGCTCTGACCTACCACAGAGCATCGAATGATTTTCAAACCGAGTATTCGGTATTCGGTTTCGTTCGATTATTTTCGATTTTTGAACAGTTCGGGACACGTCTATTTGTTACTTATCTTTATCGACGTTACCACAAGTCATAACCGGATATGACCATTGCAATAACGTATCATATTCATTTTAGGCGCACGCCAAATGATCTAAAGTTCTATCCGTGTATGTAATGTTATCTACACTTCTACGTTTCTCGTTCTAACAGTCGTACAGTGCGTACCATTGCGATCCGTGGCGTTCCGTTCTTAGATTCTGAGCCCAGTGATAGGAGCATATCGGTGTTTCACCACGATGTGTGTCATTCACGAGTTTTTTTTCTTACCAGAAATAATAAATATCGTTTTGTTTCGCAAGTGCAGCGGTTTTTATGAAAGAAAATCGGACCCAGCAAGTGTAGGTGTTGCAGAGAACGTAATTTTCCGCGAAGTGTTCTTAATAATTGGAAATAACGTTAGAGGAAAACAGGGAAATACTACGACAATAACGGTTTTAATTGTTTTCACAGAATACACGTATATTAGCCTTTTCAAGTGTCTTTTCTAAAGGGTAATTTCGATCTATTTACTGCAAGCATTCGACGTTTTTGACTTTTCATTAAGTTTTATGCGGACGCAATTATTTCAGTCAAACGCTTGACATTAATATTTTCATACCACGTTCAATGATGTTTATCATGAGTTGTACGAAACGATAAAAAAAAAAAATCGTAACTTAGTAATTTTTTTTGTGTTTTGTTTTCGGTTGTAAACGGTTAAATGTCTGATAGACGCTTTTGAGCACGTACTCGTGATTCCCATCGGAGACTGTTTTGTCGATTCGTCGCGGATAAGTCCAGGGGGCAGTACCCGGGGGTTACGATTGATCGGCCGATTTGCCGGACGAACGGCAAGCGAAACCGACGAAATTAAATTCACAAAACAATGGCCAATGACGTTAAATTATAATCACAATAATAATAGAGATACCTGCCTACCGAACGGTTAATACAATTTGACGGTTTCCGCCGGAAACTTCTGAGGCGTCGTCGAAACGTAGTTTTATTACGTACGGACAGTCGTTACGAGAAGTTTACGCGGAGTTTTCTCCGCGGCCGCGTTTATCGGAGACTTAAAACGAAAAATAAATAAACGCTAAGCCGACAACGGGTCCTCCCGTAAACCCGTACCGATAAATTGCCCCCTCCCTCCCTTTCCCCCTCGATTATATAACTCCGTCAACATCGAGTCACTTCGCGGGACTATATAAAAAGTCTCCGGCCGTATCGCCAATTTTATCGCCCCGTTTACTGTGCCGGGATTGGTCGCTATTGTCACAAAATTGTTAACGCACGTGTCCCCTCGCGGTCTGTCGTCTGCGTACCAGTGACAATATTAAATTGTCGCGTTCAAGCTAATAATAAAATTAAAAAAAAAAAAAAACGAAAAACGCGACGACGTTGAAAACAACGGATTAAATACACGTGTGCGACACGTAATTTAAGTTTGAGGTTTTCGACATTATGTTCTTAACATTTATTAAGAGTCTTTTAAAAAAAGTAAGGTAAAAGTTTTGTTATACCAATTATTTTCCATTTTTTGAAATCGGAGTTCAATGTAGCCTGTAGAATATTGTTCTTTATAAAAAAAAAAATGTCAATGAAAATTGACAGTGAGTTATCACTTTTTCCTTGAAGTTATTTTCTTTAGAAAAAACAGTCTCGCTCCTTCCCTCTAAATGGGTATTGGGTAGTTACTACCCAAAATCTATTACCCGGGAGTAGATCAGTAGAAATTAAGATGGCAATTGAAATGTTAAAAGTCATTTTTAAATTTTTCGAAATTAGGGAAAATTTTAAAAACTTGCACCAGGTTGTATTATATTATATAGGTTTTCTACAGTGATATGATATTTCGGATTTCGGTTTTCCCGTCATTAAATCTGGAATAGATTTATTTTAGATTTTTATATTTTGAGCAGAGCGAGGAATGTATAGGTTTTGCACAAAATGATTATTTTTTTTCCATAAACAACTTTTTTATTAGCAATTTTGCTCCGATTTTCCGAAGTATAGGAACTTTTATAAAAGGAAATTTCTGTATGGTGATGCTTTATGCCAGTCATTCTTTGATTTTTCCAGGGTTTTTCATAGTAAATGGGAAGAACAGGAAAATTTACGAAATGTCTTATTTTTGTATCGTAAATATTATACGGTCTTCCAAAACATGTACAACCAAACTTCGCTCAGAATCTTTTTTCGTTGACAATGATTATTCGTTGCGTACAAATGATAAATATACATTCAATTTTCCCTCTATAGGTATACCTTCTCAACTTTTCACCTATAACAGCGACCTATCAATCGTGGGAAGTATGTCCGTTCGTTTTCCTTCATTAATATTTTATACTTTTATAATCACGATGAGTTTTTTGATTGCGTAATTTATTATTTTACATATTATATTAAAAAAAAAAAAAAATTTGTCGTAGTATTTGTAATTATAAAAAAAAAAAATGTATGAATTTATCTAAAATCAGAATTTAAAAACCCAAGACTCATGGATATTGGAACGGAAAATTCGGGATTCTCGTACTTCGGCAAATCCGTATTTTCCTCGTCATTAATGACACATTAATACTATAAACCGTTATCATTATAAGCGTAATAAGATATAATCTGTATATTGTTTTTCGGGTTTTCAGGAGGAGCAAAAAGAGACCGATCATTAGCGGACCGTTTCCGGCCGACCTCGACCAGCTGCAGGGCGAAAAGTGGCGGTACGTAATACTGACCCGGTTGGACACGGAACCGCCGCCTGAGCGGCCGCCGCGGACGAGGCGCCGTCGGCCGCAGCGTTCGGAGATCACGACGGTCGGCCGCGTCTGGGGCTCGGTGCGGCGGCGGTCCCGCGGCGCCCGGGACAATTTCCAAAGGCGGTCCGGACGGCATGCAGCCGCCGCCACCGCCGCCGCCGCCGCCGTCGTGGCGAACAACCGCGGCCGTCACGGGATCTCCGCCGCGGAACTGATGGACCTGGTCGTGCAGGTGTACCGCCGTCGACCTGCCGGACTGCAGTTACCGTTGCCCGCGCCGCCGGCCGCGGCCGATCACCGCCGCGACACGGCGACGGAACGGACGTCCGTCAAGGCGTTCGCGGTCAAGCGGTACGCGTCGCCGTGGTTGTCGCGGTGGTCGCGCGAAACCGCGGCGGCACCGTCCCGGAAGACGGCCGGCCCGCTCCGGTACGGGTTTTTCCAGGCCGTGGGCCGCTTGAGCTCGATGACCGACAATCTGCTGTTGTGACGCGACAGCGGCTGGCGGTACGCGCTGCCCGCGCGGTACACGCCCGCGGGCAACGCCCGACTCCGGGCGACCGTTGCCGCCGCCGCGCGTCCAAACATCATCGTGGTTCCCTTAGCCGTTATGCTCGCCGACAAGCGGTCCGAATAACGCGCGTATTCACTATTTATCGTTATGTTATGCCCTTATAAATTGTACCGGGGGAGGGGGAAAACCGCTTTACCAATGACGTACACTTCACACTGTAACTATAGTTTTATGTCTATTTGTACTAATGATAGCTTTGAAGTACGATTTTCGCTAAAATTAAGAAATCAATTCGAATTACGATAACGGTTAAACATTGACGTAAGACACGTCAATCGGACCTGATTACGTAGTGTTATCACCAATATATATAATATATTTTGTTTGAATTGATTTGCATCAACTTAACCAGCCTTCCCTAATCGCGTCGCAGTATAACACGGTTACCGAATCGAAGTTCCCGCCCCCCCCGCCAACATTTAAGTATTTGGTTCCCGAAAACTGTTCCGTTTTTCTCGAAATAGTCGCCGAACACAACGGTCATGTTGTTAAGTTACAGACAAATTGTTAACGTATAAAAAAGTACAACGGTGCACGGGACGAGGCGTTGCGACCGTCCGCGGCTATCACTTTGAAAATCCAATCGCTTCCGTTTTAATCAAATCTAACACTGACTTTCTATTTTCGGGTACAACGACGTATCGGTCAACGGGCGTTATCAGCGTTCGGGGCGAAATATCGAGAATCACGACGTATAATATCTACGTATATAATATATATATAAATTAGATTTTTCCGATTTCGTCACCGCGGGGGGGGGGGGGTTGGTTGGGGGAAA